AAATGTCTCACAAGATCTGAATTTTCCAAATTTCAACACTTCATTTGAATAAGCTCTATAATAAAAAAAACCCAATTCCAACGACGACGACTCTTTTAATTTTTGAATGCCGAACCTTGTGATCTTGGACACATTCTATGTTTTTTCATCAAACTACTTTTCAAATAATAATTGTTTTCTTTTATTGATGCGTACAGAGTATTTTTTGGTACTAGAGTTCATTTTTGTAATTGCAAAATCTTTTCATATAAGGTTTGTATCACTTTATAATCGATTCTGCTTCTGGAAATGTAGTGGCCTCCATTTTTGCATTGCTAGTATTATACGTCTTGAGTATAATTATATTTTTGTTCAACTATTCAACAGGCACTATTTTCGCTCCATATAAAACATCTATTGATAATTCGAGGCCAACTTTTTAATAGTTCTGCTTCAATACTACATTCTTCAATTTTTTGTTATATTTATAGCGGATTTCATTTCTTGTCATTACGTTTTTTGTACCTTTTCAAGTTTCAATCACACAAATTACAGTTGAATTCATTTTATTTGGGAGTTTGTAAAATTTACATTATCCTGTTCCTGTAGAATCTTAACAGTAGTTAGTAATTCACTCATATGAGCAAAAATAAACAGAACAAACTGGCACTGATATGAAAAATTTCACAAATACCTCACAGATCGCACTGTATGAAATTTCATTGAGATATTTTTCATGTCCATCATGAAAATGTTAAATATTCAAAGCCTCTGTGACATTATCATAACGATTTGTGGGAGGTGCAATTTTTTGCCGGTCTAAAACAAAAGGCGACTTTTTATTACCCGATCATATCTTTGAACCAATTTGAATTCTTCAAAGGTCAAATATTTGGAACAATGACAACTGTCATTACGTAACTACACAATCAAGTAACGTACCTCAGTGAGGGGGTTTGGTTCTTTCGCTATGGTATTAACTTCGCCTGTCATTCCAATGTGGGTGTGTAGTGACCTTGCTCCTCAGTTGCCTATTGCTGTCGAAAATACAGATCTCTCTAACAATTAGCCAGTTGTTCAATCGTATTAACTGGGTTGAGAAATGTTTTGATTCATGATCAATTTGTGCACTAATTGAACGATCGAAAAATGTTTTTGTAATATGATCAAGAATTACATTCTTGATCGCTGGTCTCAATTCAAAATTTAATTAGAAATATTCAAATATTATACACAAAATACAAACTGCAGCATACAGGTTTCCCCAAAGAACTACGCTTTGATTTGGCTTGAATGTTATCTCTGACAAAAAATGAACGCAATTTCATTCAAACAGATGTTAACGTTATTATATACTTGTGATGGACTGTTTGGAACATTTGGTATACTAATGAATATTACTGAAGTTTTATCCCAACACCAAACCGTTATTTTAACACCTCGACACGTGATCATCTACAAGGTGTTGGGATAAAACTCCAGTAATATTCAGCGCAACCAGGTGTTTTATAAGACATAGGAATAAGTGGAAACTACTTCTGTTCATGTTCCTGGTATTGAGGGATATATTTGACAAATCAAGAAAAGTAAATTCCAGTACTAGCTCTTATTATAGGTAGCGGTGAACATTGAGTATTTTTTGTGAATTCAAATATTGTTGTTGATAATAATAATGATGAACTGGTCTTCAATATAAGGAGATTAACATTATGCAAATAGTTCAAAATTTATACAAATAATATGGAATAATCTCTTCTTTGCTTGAGTTTGGTCTTCGGCTACTCTAATATATAATCCATGAAAAAACTTTTGAATTAAGTAGCTTATCTGAATAGAATATCACAATAATTTCGATCATATAATATTCAACAACAATGCTGTGGAGGATGGAGATCAAACAAAGCAAGTGTTATGTTAAACGAAAGTAATTAATATTCCATTGCATATCGAATTAATATCACTACCCTCCTCATTAATCTACGGTATTGATCAGATAAAAAAAATCATAAAATTGTTGGGCATAGTATTCACATATTCACACAGGTTACGCTACGCCCAAAGATTTTATTATTTTTTTATGAATACCGTAGATTGCTGAGGAGAGTGGTGTGATGACTGATGCCTAGGAACTTCCAGAAATTCCAAATTTTTAGTTTTTCAGTTTGATACCCATATTGGGGTAGTTGTGAAATAATATGTAATCTGCCATTTTGTAACTGAATCTTGAATTTGCACTTTTTTCGAAGTGTACCTACTTCTAGACTACAAGTCAAGCCCTGTCATATTGAGGTAGTTGTGAAAAAATATGTGATTTACCATTTTGTAGCTGCGGCTATCCTATATTTGTATCTTTTTCAAAGTATTCTACTATTCCGTCATTCAAGCCCTGTCATTTGATACCCATTCAGAGGTAGTTGTAGAAAAATATGTAATCTATTTTGTAGTCGCGTCCATATTTCATTCAAAATGATACAATATATCATACAATGATACAATGATACCAAATATCAGATCAATCTGTCAACATGATTGGGGTCAAACTTCAGTTACTAAATTTGACACAAACAAACAGGGCAAGTTAAATAACCGTTTGAAAATAACAGCCCAGGAATAAGCGATGAACTCAATTGGAAATTATCACCATGATATGTTACAAACTCCTCCCTTCGTGAAATTCGTTAGGTTGATGGTTAGATGAAAACCAAAATCCGCATCAAATGTGTAAAATATCTCCATATGACAAGCTTTCAGTAGTTAAACAGTTAGAAACTTAATACTTTCTATTCTCAGTAAGATTGTCTTGAAATCTACAAATACCAAAACGCAGATAAGCCTACAATAAATGAGACAAAGATACACTTTAGAGATCAAAATCAGAACACTGGAAATGAAATGAACAATGGAACCCATATAGAAACGAAACGTCAAATGGCCATAATATGATTTTGTCTCCAATTTGAAACTTCATAAACAATAATTTGGTATTTTTAATGATTCGAAGCCTCTCAGTATTTTTCATTGTACTAATTGAGTATGGGTAGAAATGTGAGTTTATTTTAAGTATTAGGTTGTTTCAGAAGTTTTGTCTTTTTTTATGAGGCTACTCTAAACTGTAATATCTCAGTGAATCAGTGAATGTTTTCCAACATAATACGAGTCGATTAATTCCGTTAGCTTGAAAATTTTGTGCTCATGTTTCGATAAAGTCGACGAATGCCGTCTTTATTTTTCGAAAAGATGGTTATCGATTGGCGAGAGATGTGCGGAATAGGGTTAATGAGGCAGAACTTCAACACTCAATTAGTTTAATTTTTAGACGGTGATTTGTGTAACGTGCAGATGGACGTTGTCGTGGAGCAGGATCGGACCTCTTCCGTTGAATAATGCCGACCGCTGCTGACGCAATTTTCGGTACATTTCGTCGATTTCTTTACAATAGGACTCTGCAGTGATTGTTTGGCCTGGTTATAGTGAACCACACCAGCCGCTAACCACTATACAGTAACCATGTTTTTTTTGTAGGTTTTCGCCTATGAGAAGTGCCTGTTTCCAACCGCTGTGGTATATTACGTTAATGCTTTTTTGTAATCAGTAGGCTTATAGAAATTTTCAACATCTAGAAAATCTGAATATAATCAGAACTGTTATAATAGACATATATGACACTTATTATTTAATCAATTTTAACATGTACTCAAGCTTCGATTACTATGAGTGCCTTTCAGTTGCTTTCAACCAGGATATATCGTTTCATTATCGGTCTCTCTCTCTCTCTTTGGAAAATTACATGAAATGAACATTCACACGATTTGAGTGGTTCTAACATTTCTTTTGCCGAACAACCTTACCCACCTACAACATTTTCAATTAAAAATCACTTCAACGCTATGAACCTATAATTATGATTTTGAAACAAGAATATAATGAGTTACTCCATTAAAGTATGGAACTAAAGTTGTATCTCCTTCAGGAGAGAATAATGGACGTATCTTTTGTTTTGGAATGATTCAACCAGTAGGGGTATTATGAAACGGATATACTGTTATAGTAGAAATGTTACAAAATGAACCATTAATGAAATAATGGTCCATGAAATCGGAATCTGGAAGTACTGACTGTTTCTTACTTAATGGTAAACTATAAATTGTTTCAGAACCTTTTATTTCTTCCGGTAGTAAATTAAATAGTCTAGGTGCCATAGCTTTACATGATTAATAATGTAATTGTGTAGGTTTATTGAGTGAAATATGACAGTCATATTTTGGCGTATGTCAAATCTATGAAAAGGACAAATTTTAGCAAAATCACTATATTTTTTATATAAATACAAATAGAACTCGAAAATAACAAATGACGGAAACGTTGAAATCCTTAGATTCTTAAAGTGATCTCTGCAAGATAAACTTTTTGATATACCAGCCAATGAAAACACTTGCTGATGAACTAGATAATCTCCAGAAATATACTTTGGAGTCTCGAGTGTTACTGCGCATGATACAATTTGACTATACAGGAGTTCCAGACGCCGAAGTGTAAACATCAAAGTGAAAGTTTTTAGTGTTACCTGAAGTGCAGTGATAAGAATTTTATTCAGAGAGATATACCAAAGTGTTAGAATAGTGCCGAGTTTACACAAAGCAATAAGAGATTAGTTCTTTTTAGGACTGTGTGTGCGAAAGCACACGGTAAGAGTGAATTCGATTACTTTTTTCTTTTTCAGACTCTTAGGACCCTGCTCATTGAAAAATGGAGGAGGAATATGAGAGACTGAGGAAGGAAAACCAAGAAATGAAGGACTACGTGGCAAACATGAAGAAAGACTGCCATGAGCTGAACGTCAAGTACGAGAGGACACACAGAGACTCCAGGAGTTAATAGAGGAAACATGGAAAAGACTGGAAAAAGCCGAATGCGAAAATAAGGCCTAGGATGAGAAGATAGCCGAATCAATAGACAGAATAGACAAAATTGAAGGAAGAAAAACAAAAAAGGAAACCGACAAGGAAGAACAGAAAAAGGAAATGCAGAAGGACAAATCGAAAAACGTCCCTGAACAAGGGAAAGAAAGAAAGGAAAAGGTAAGCGGAAAAGCCGAAAAAAGACCCAAAACAAGGGAGAAAAACGCAGACCCACGACCGACAAAAAGGCTAAGAGCCCCTGCAGCATCCTCCGAAACGAAATCAGACGAAGGCTTCCAGCGAGTGGAAACCAAGAAAAATAAAAAACGAGAAGACGTCTGGAAAGAGAAAAAAAAAAAGAAAGAAAACCAGCAGGAAAACCACGCGGACATGGAAATGGAAGCGGAAACGTCGTCAAAAGACGACGCACACAGACAAACAGAGGCACCAACCCTCGAAAACAAAAACCCAGACACTTCAGTATGGCCAAACATGACAAACAGCGAAGAACAAGTCATACCGACCCCAGCGAGTTCGGATTCGAACACTAACACGAAGCAAGGGAACCCAGTCAATCCACCATCGATAGTCGTCCACGACAGCAAAAGGTGGAACGAGATTTCTAAAGGTCTTGAAGACAAAAAGATCGGATGCGACAAAGCAAGGCTGACCAGGGATGGAATTTACATCCACACGAACAACGAGGAGGAGTGGCGTAGAGCGACCCGATACATGGAAGAAAGGAAGATAGACTTCCATACATATTCCATTAAAAAAGGAATCCCGCTACACGCAGTGATTCACGGGATCCCTGAAAACGTGACGGTGGAGGACGTCACAAGCGACCTGAAAGCACAGGTATACACTGTGCTCGAATGTTAAAGGATGACATCCACACGCACCAGGACGACGCTACCGCTCTTCCTGGTGAAAGTGCCGAAAAGTGAAGAAAGGATATTCGCACTAAGAACGTGCGTCAACCTTATTGTGAGAGCAGAACCCCAATTAATGAACAGAGGGCTAATACAGCAATGTCACAAATGTCAATTTTTTGGACATGCACAGAGACGCTGTCACGCAACCGCGCGTTGCGTAAAATGCGGAGAACAGCACGAGACAAGGGATTGCCAAAAACAAAGTGAAGCGCCAGCCAAATGCGCAAACTGCCTGGGAGCGCACCCGGCAAGTTACAGGGGATTCAGGTTGTTCCCCAAACCCAGACCCACACAAACAGCAGGAAACAGGCCTCGACAAGCGGAGAGTCAGAGGCCCCGGCAGCAGCCAGCTCAAAGGAAACCAGTACCGAAGGCGCAGAAAGCCGGAGGAAATGAGCTGGTCCAAATTTTAGGGAGCTTAACGACTGAGCAGCAAAAGATTGCGTAGGCGGTCTTAGCCACCTTAATACAAGCACCCGGACGACAGTAATGCCTGCAAGAATCCCGGAAAGACTACTAGTAGGATCATGGAACATAAACGGTTCCATAGAAAAATGGCACGAGCTACTGGAGCTGCTATCGCGTCTAGACATAGACGTCATGGCACTGCAGGAGACAAGATTGGGGAGCGAAAAGAGCTACCGTATCCCAGGATATAACATATATAGGACAGGCAGGCAAGGGCTCACCGCGCCGCAGGTGGGGGGTTGGTTCTTGTTAAAACTTGCCTTACCCCGGGGGGAGGCGGAAAACCCGGAATTCCACTTGGGGGAGGCGTTGGGGTTCAAATTAAAACGGGGCGGTTCGGGGCGGTTGGGATTTTGTTGGTTTTCCTTGCTTCGGCAGGTTTTATGCTTGGAAGGATCGACATTGCAGAAATGTTCCCAGACCACCATCCACCAGTTGCCATTGACGACTTCAACGCAAAGTCGCGTGACAGGAACTGTAGGAATGGAAACAGGAGAGGCAGAGAACTAGGCAGAATCCTAGAAGAATTCGAGGACATCGCAGTAGTAGCACTAAACACCCCAACATACTACGCGCACGAAGATCAAGTCCCGAACATTCCCGACATCGCACTAGTGCAGAACATCGAAATTACGGAGATGGAAGTACTAGACGAAGGTTCGTCAGACCACAACCCCATTCTATTCACAATAGGAAGAGGTGAAGTGGAAACAGACAACTCAACAAAGTGAGTCATCGACTGGATAATATTCTAGCGCGCCATACACGATGCGATGGGTGAGATACCATGCATGGAACCAACAACGGATCTGGAGAACGCCACAGAACAGCTGCAGCAGGCGATCATCCAAACAATGGAAAGAAGCGCACGGGAAGTCCCAGCCCCACGCTTCAACTTCCAAGAACAGCTCCAACCAGAAACGATGGAACTGGTCAGGATAAGGAGACGCCTGAATAGACGGTATCAAAGGACTCGCGTGCCTATGGACAAAAGGTGCATGCAAAGAGCCAACATGATACTAAAAGAAGAATTAGAAGAAATCCGAGACAGACAATGGACTACTCGTCTGGAAGAACTAAACACTGAAGACCAATCTGCATGGAGAATGCAGAAAGTACTCAGGAAAGGACCTCGACAGCCATGCCCGCCAATACACGGCGAGCAAGGAATCGTTTACAGTGACCAGGAGACGGCGGAAGCATTCGCGGACAATTTTGAAAGGCAGTGCAGAGAGAACGACGTCCCGTTCACGGACGAAGTGGACGAAATAGAGAGACAGATGGAAAGGATGGTACTAAGTTTGAGACAACGAACGAACAACGCGCAACCCCTGGCCCCGACATCTCCCGAAGAAGTGAAAGACATACTTAGACACCTATCCACTCGGAAAGCGCCAGGCCCGGACAACATAACAAACCGGGCACTGAAAATACTACCGCGCATGTGTATAGCACCCATTACTAACATCATAAACGCTATACTCGGATTGCAGCACTCCCCGTACCAGTTCAAAGAGGCAACGGTTATCCACATCCCGTAGCCCAAGAAGAACCACCTGTTCCCAGACAATCACAAGCCAATAAGCTTACTACTTTCCATAAGCAAAGTGGCGAAACGTGTCATCTTGAAGAGACTCGAAGATCAAACTAGAGAGCTAGGAATCCTCCCGGATGAACAATTCGGTTTTAGATCAGAACGCTCTACAATTCCTGAGGGTAGTAGACTTTGCGACCGAAGGCTTCAACCTCGGCAAAGGACACAACACCGGTGCAATCTTCCTAGACGTCTCCAAAGCGTTCGACAGAGTTTGGCATCAAGGACTACTGGCCAAAATGGGGTTGAAAATGAAGTTGCTAATAATCAAAACCGTCCTCATGCCCATAAAACTGTATACCTGCACTGCCTGGGGCCAGTGCGCACAGACATACAGGAAGCAGATACAGTCGTTTATGAAAGTGAGCGTAAGGGCTGCCGTAAAGGCGCCGTACTATATCTCAAATAGATACTTATATAGAGACACGCAATATGTGGACATGTATATGAGAGAACACGCAGTAAGCGTATGAGATAGAATCAGATCGCACAACAACCCAGCGCTACGCGATCTACACGATCCATTGAATATGGATGACCCCAGGTTCCGAGAAAGGGATAAACATCCCAGGCCGACGAAGCAGAACCAAACACCGCCCCCACGAGTCATTGTCAGGCGACTCCGGTAAGCATACTAATCAGATTTTCTTTCAGCAAGTTCACCGCAGATCAACTCGACCGCAATCCAATTATCCTTAGATTTACTGAGGAACGCCCGACGTTAATAGCAATAGCCGCTGGTTACTTTTTGGGGGCCCCCATGCAAAAATTCAGTTAGGAATAGTCAGACAAAACACTTTTTACCGATCGCGAAAGAATAGCACCTAAAGGCTGACTTTCGACCAAAAGAGGTCAGATGTCAATCTTGCTGAAGTGCCCATCAGTAAGTTGAGGACCGCTCGGAGAACGGGGGTGGATGGGGTGGGATAGTAGGTTCTCCTCGCTAACTAGCTGGGGGGGGGGAAGCTTCTACTTCAGGGCACTCAACCCGGGAGGGGGCATGGAGGGATGATACAATTTCAGTGGTTGGATGTTTAAAACCAGTTTGATATTTCTGAATTGACTGAATAGAACTGGCCGATACTCTATGAATATCCATATTGAAAAAAAACTAATTAAAACAGTTTATTGTATGATTTTCACTATGAAGGTAGTGAAAATCATACAATAAACTGTATTGATTAGTTTTTTTTCTGAATTGATATGAGTAGCTATTCAGTTTGGACTGTGGCATCTGGCTACAGTCCACGTGGAGACCTAAGAACTTGACTTGAAACAGTATTTATATTTTTAATAAATTGATTAGGAACGTTAATGTTTCCAAAGTATTTCTAACGGTTGTAGAATCGAAGTGAATTTGTTTTCTCGGAGTTCAAATGTAAGTGATTTGCTCAAAACCAGTCTCTGGTATATGAAATGATAGTAGAACAATTATCGACCAGTATCTCATCCGATTTATGTGAAATAATGATTGAAGTGTTATCAGCGTACATAGTAAAATAAGACTGAACTGGTGATTTGTCCAAATAATTCATGAATATTTTGATCACCAAGTGATCATCTTCCTCTTGTAGATGATCACTTGGTGATTGGGATGTTGAAATAATGGTTTGATGTTGAAGTAATTCTCCAGTTATATTCATTACTACACCAAAGGTTCCAAACAGTACACCACAAGTACAAATCATTCATGTATAAAATGAACAAAATCACTCTTCAAACTGACCCTTGGTGACTTCTGAAGGTGACTTTTGGGAAAGCAAGGTTTTGACTTCCTACTTCTTTATCGTGACACGAAAAAGTGAAAATCTTCCAAAGAAAGGAAGAAAGCAATCAATTTAAAAAAATCAACTATGTACAGAGATGTGTAGATCCTGCGAAGAAGTAACTTTCAGATACTATCTGGAAGGGAAAACCTTCCTGAAACTGCTCGTATGAATATTGAATTACAGCAAAGAAAAATACTTTCGAAACAAATACTCTTATATGAACACTGAATTATACGAAAAACGTTTTTTTCTATTCTGTTTGTATTCCAAACATTTGTAAAGAAAACAGAACAGATATCATTCACAGAGTTTTTACACAATATACTTAACGAAAGAAGTGGAATGGGTCAAATTCACCCATGTCATCGATGACAGTACGTAAATAACATTATTTAGGTAATTTGATTAAATCCCAGACGAAGGTATCTTGTTTAAATTGAAAGAGTATATTTTCAGAAGAGGATAATATTTTTGAAAGAAAGGTTTTGGCTTTCTTCTTCCACATCCCAAAAATCAATCTCTCCTAAAAATATAGCCAATTGTGACCTTCTGTACCGAGGAAGTTCTGTCATCAAGAGCAACGTCTTGGTCTCTTGAAATGTGGAAACTATACAGCCACTGGTGTGGAAAACCTCTTTTTCCGTATTTCTGAAGCTTACTCATTAGAATGGTTTGAGTCGCGGAAATCTTGGCCGCCGAACAAGAATCGAAAATTGCCTGTAATGAAAAACTCTCCATAAATGCTCCTTTCTTATTTAGTTTTTTTTAATCAATTTAGCAGCTGCTGTCACCAGATGCAGATTTCTCCACATTAAAATTTGGAAGCTAGGCTATTCCGAAAAGGCTGTAAGGTTCATGCCGATCGCACGAAGGCCGGTCTTTTTTTGAAATCTGATCATTTGGTATACCTACTTATAGTCTCTCTCATTATGTGGTTCAGGAACTGAATTTTAATCCTAATTGAAATGCTTTTCATTCACTATTCTTTTCTCGATAGATTGACAAAAAGTCTCTCATTTGTTTTTGTTCTCTTAACTTCATTTTACTTTACGAGGGTGGTATTTTCCTTAAATAATTTCATCCATTTGGTTTTATAATTTTTTATAGTGTGTTTCG